AAAACCCAGGGCTTTTTTTGTAGCAGGGACTCCTTTGCATGTTAGGCCACACACCCCTAATGTAGCCAATCCTAATGAGTTTCTGCTGTTGGGTGTGGCCTATTATGCTAATGAGTTCCTGCTGGGCGTGGCCACCTCGGGAGCCAGCCGGAACTCCGTTCCTGTGCGTTCCTGCCCAAAAATAGCCCTGCAAAGTTTACACAGAGAGTGATTAAAATGTGGAATTCGCTGCCAGAGAATGTCATGATGGCCACAGGCAGAAACAGCTTTAAAAGGGGATTGGAAAGATTCATGGAGGATAGGTCTGTCAGTGGCTACTGGCTATGGTGATGACTGAAGGGAACCTCCATATTCAGAGGCGCTATACTTCAGAATCCCAGCGCCAGGAGGCAACATCTGGGGAAGGCCTCGGCCTCTATGCCCCGTCGTTGGCCCTCCAGAGGAACCGGTTGGCCACTGTGCGAGAAAGGACGCTGGAGTAGATGGGCCACTGGTCTGATCCAGCAGTGCTCTTCTGATGTCCTTCACTCTCCTAGAAGCTAAAATGACTAAAATGAGGCTATCAGACTTTGGACACATCATGCAAAGACCAGACTCACTGGAAGAGACAATAATGCTAGGAAAAGTGGAAGGCAGCAGATGGATGGATTCAGTCAAGGAGGCCACGGCCCTCAGCTTGCAAGAGTCGAACAAGCCTGTTAATAATAGCACATTTTTGAGGACATTTGGTGGAAATGTGAAAGAGCAGGAAGGTATTGGAAAATGATACAAAAGCTTATTACGGGTATCATGAAGTTAAAAGTGATTTTAACTCCGGAAATAGCCCTGTTAAATATGATACCAGAGGATTACAAGCAAAACGACAAATACTTATTAACATATATAGTGACTACGGCCAGAATATTAATGGCTAAATATTGGAAAATGGAGAGATTCCCAACAAGAGAGGAAATAATATTTAAACTGATGGAAGTAGCAGAAATGGATAAACTAACCAAAAAAAAAAAGAGGGAGGTGTGTGTTTAATAAAAGATGGGAAAGAATGTATAAATGGATTTATGAAATGTGGGGAAATCTAGACTCAAATGTATAAAAGAATGAATATATGCAATCTTGAACAAGACTCAAGATATTGGAAGAATTTTTTTTTTTGTAAATGATGACAAATTGAGGAAAAGACAAATAAAATGTATAAAAAAACAATAGTACATTTTTGAGGACATTAATTCATAGGGTTGCCAAAAAAACTGAAGCGATTTGATGGCACTTAATACACACGGGTACTCCTTGCCCAACAGTTGATTGACAAGACCCCAGTGGCTCCGCCCAGAGTTATTTGCCACCCGTTAACGATATGCCACACCTGTCGCTGAGCAGGCTTCCTTCTCCTCCTTCACGGCTACAGATCCCCCCCCCAAAAAAAACCCCAAAATGGCAGTGTAAAGGGTGGAAATGCAACTGGGAAAAACTGTGCCCTACTTCCAAAGCCTTGCGGTATTGTGTTGTTGGGCAACTCTTGACGTTAATTCCGCTGCGAGCTTTCCTGTGGGATGGATTTGGCTTCTCTGATCACTTGAATCTGTGAACATGTGGTCGCCTCAGGGGTTTAAGCCCACTTGTGCGTGTATATATAAAATATTTTTCTTTGCTGCTAGTGTTGACAAGCGGCGTTAGTTCCTTCTCTGTAAATAGGATAAAAATGGTTTGCGTAGCCTATTATTGTGCCAGCTGCAGCTGGTAATAGCGGTAGTGACATACTTAATAAACTGAGCTCCACTCAAAATTATCCAAGTTTTATATCTTGGGAAAAGCCACAGCCCTCTAGGGCCTGCGTCGGAGTCTGAGGAGTCTCTGTTTGCTTGAAGAGAGATACCAGACCTCCTCCTGAGGAGCAGGGGATGTGCTATAGGGAACGTCTCTTCCATTACTTACAGTTGTTTGTGGGTATCATGACCAACTGAAACTTCTCTGTGGTGTTTTTGTGAGGCGACACTGACGGGAGAGCTCATGTGAGGAGCTTGCTTTCTCTGGCTTCTGTTTTGGCGGATTCGTTCCATTTGCTGTGGCCCCAATGTATCCTCCGATGATTGCGGTGTGGGGACGCAAACAGCCCTGTGGAAATGTCGGGGGCAGGGTTTGAAGACCCCAGAGACAGGAGGCCCCATGCAGTCCGGACTGCAAAGGTCTTGCAAAAAGTACGAAGGAACTAATCAAGCGTGGGTAATTCCAGGTGATCAAAGCCACACAACTAAGTCAAGTCAGCTTCTACGCTTGGCCTAGCTGGGCATGGACTTTTCCTCCTTCCTCTCTGCAAGATGCCGCAATTGCTGAGAAAACAGAAACATTTGTTAGACTAAGAAAAAAAAGCATACAACTCCCAGTTTCTAGAATGCCTGTGGATCCACAGACCTGGCGTAGGCAGGGCCATGGGCTGTGAGCCATGAGCTGAGCATGAAGGGTCCTCTGGCCCTTGCCTTTGCCCTGTGGGTCATGTCTCTAACCATGCCCAGGCAGCAGAGGAGGAGGAGGAACATAAGAACATAAGAGAAGCCAATGTTGGATCAGGCCAATGGCCCATCCAGTCCAACACTCTGTCACACAGTGGCCAAAAATACCAGGTGCCATCAGGAGGTCCAGCAGTGGGGCCAGGACACTAGAAGCCCTCCCACTGTTGCCCCCCCACAAGTTCTTGTATTGTGAGAAAGGGAGAAAAGTACTTCTTTCTCATTCTGCTTTATCCCATGCATAATCTTGTAAACCTCGATCATGTCACTCCTCAAGTCGTCGTTTCTCCAAGCTAAAGAGCCCCAAGCGCTTTAACCTTTCTCCATAGGGACAGTGTTCCAACACTTTTATCATTCTAGTTGCCCTTTTCCGTGCACCTTGGTGTCTAGTCATGCCGACCTCATGACCACGGAAATGTCTTTGGACAGTGCTGGCTCTTCGGCTTGGAAACAGAGATGAGCACCGCATCCCTAGAGTCGAATTTGACTGGCTTTCGAGCAAGGAGAACCTTTACTTTTACTGCCCTTTTCTGCCTTTTTTCCAATGCTATAATATCCTTTTTGCAGTGTGCGGACCAGAATTGCACACAGCTATGGCCTTTTTTTTAAATTGCAGTTGCACACTGTCTCGACATTTTCAGAGAGTTATCTACTACAACTCCAAGATCTCTCTCTTGATCAGTCGTTGCCAGTTTGGACCCCATCAAAGTGTATTTATAGTCAGGAGTTTTGGCCCCAATGTGCATCACTTTGCACTTGGCCACATTGAACCCCATTTGCCACGTTGACGCCCACTCGCCCATCCTCGACAGATCCCTTTGGAGTGCCTCACAATCCTCCCTGGTTCTCGCCACCCTTAGTGCCGTGGCCCAGTGGTGGAATATCTGCCTGGCATGCAGCTTCAATCCCTGGCATCTCCAGTTAAAAGGAAGAGGTGGTAGGTGATGCGAAAGGCCTCTGCCGGAGACCCTGGAGAGCGGCTGCCAGTCTGAATATACAGTCCTGATCTCGATGGACCGAGGGTCTGATTCAGCAGAAGGCAGCTTCATGTGCTTGCTGAGCTGACCCTGAGTTGTTCCCGGCTTTCTTTCCCGGCGTAGGCTCCAGAGCAGAGACAGAGCTGAGTTAATTAACTGGTTGCACCATAGAGAATGCGCGTGAAAGAACAGAAAAAAGCTTGGGTAGACAGTCTCGTTTGCTGTACAGAGCCCAGGAGAATGCTGCCTGCTTAAATAACCCTAACCCTTTATGCTGTCTTGGTCTGTCTCTCCCCTACGGGGTGTCTTAGTAGTGTAATCTCATCATTTAATTGTGGGTTTTTGAGGTCAACGGAGCCATTTAACATGGTTCTAATAACACCAGGACAAAAAAAAAGTACCAGGTTACTTGAGGTTTGAACACATACTTTTTGAAAATGGCAGCAGGGTCTTCGCTCTCCCATATGACATTCCCAGTTTACACGCAGATAAGTTGTAGATTAGGAATACGCCATGCTGATTGTTACTTGAGTAACGGGAGGGAAGGCGGCGTGGATGTAGCCCTGTCTCCTCAGATCTCGGAAGCTAAGCAGGGTCGGTACTGGGAAGTCCACCGAGGAAGACTCTGCGGAGGCAGGGAAGAGCAAACCATCTCCGCTTCCCCCTTGCCTTGAAAGCCCATTGTTGGGGTCACCATGATTCCGTTGTGACTTCCCTAGGTACATGCGTAAAGGTAAAGGTAAAGGTTCCCTTGCTCGAAAGCCAGTTGAGTCCGACTCTAGGGATGCGGTGTTCGTCTCCGTTTCAAAGCCGAAGAGCCAGCGCTGTCCAAAGACGTTTCCGTGGTCATGTGGCCGGCATGACTAAACACCAAGGCACACGGAACGCTGTTACCTTCCCACCGAAGTGGTACCTATTTATCTACTTGCAATGTCTTGCTTTCGAACTGCTAGGTTGGCAGGAGCTGAAACTAGAGATGGCAGCTCGGGTCTCGAACTGCTGAACTACTGACCTTCCACAGCCTGCAGTTCAGCATCTTAACCACCGCAGCTTAACCACCGCAGCACCGGAGCTGCGGTACATGCGTACTCAAATAATAAAGACTAAACCACATCCTGAAGAGCCAGTTTGGTGTCGTGGTTAAGTGCGCGGACTCTAATCTGGGAGAACCAGGTTCGATTCCCCACTCCTCCACTTGCACCTGGCTGGATGACCTTGGGCAAGCCATAGTTCTGTCAGAGCTGTCCTTGAAAAAGAGCAGTTTCTGTCAGAGTTCTCTCAGCCCCACCTACTTCACAGAGTGTCTGTTGTGGGGAGGGGAAGGGAAAGGAGTGTGGAAGCCGCTCTGAGACTCCCTTGGGTAGTGAAGGGCGGGGAATAAATCCAATCTCTTCTTCTCCTTATAACCCAAGAACACTTCTTCTAAAGATTGCATGCTGAATGTAAATAGAAACAAGTTTCCATACTGAAACATTTAATTGCTTTCCCTTACAGTTTTCATCACATTTGCAGTCTTTGGAGGAAATTTCTTCTGCCTTGAGACTGGGTAGTCCGACAGCATTCTACAGTTGCAAGTAATCGTTGGTGTCTCAGGGACAATGTGAAGATATTTTTCTGGAAGAAAACGCCCACCAGGTTCCTCCGCCCACCCGAAACCTGTTGGATGCCAGAGAGTTTGTCACTTGCTACTAGACAAGGTCAGACATTCTCATTCTCCCAAAGAACGCGTATTTCCAGGTGTCCCTTACAGATGGGGAAGGAAGTGGGCGGAAACCTGTGATAGCAGCTTCATTTTGTCTTGTATGTGCCATGGTTCGTCAAATGTGTTGCGGAGAGTTGATGGTGACTCCGGCACCTTCCTGAAGTATTCCTCTGCTTTGTCGTCATTTCCCAAGAGCCGGGGCTGTCTCCAGTGAAGCTGGCAAGGGGTTTGTGTGTGTGTGTAAGGGGGTGGGGGTTCCAGATGCAGAAGACGTAGCTGTCCCTTGGCTCGTGGCGTTGCATCTTGTAAAGATGCGGGCCTGGATGAGAGCTTGTGGTTCGCCCCAGTTTCCCACATACATTAGGAAAGGGAACAACTGCTTTGTTTTTCCAAACAGCTCCAGCTTCATCCCAAGTTCGAATATCCCTTTTATCAAACAGTGGGGGGGCTGCCCTTCCCCCAACCACCTGGGGTTGGCCCCCCCGCTGCCACCAGCCTGCCAGCGGCGAGTGGGGCGGCGACCTTCCCCTCCCCCCCAGTGAACGTGCTCCACGTGGAGGACGTGAAGCGCCGGGAGCCACCCCCGTCCTGCAGCGCACGGGTGAGGAGGCGCCCGGTTGGGCAAGGGGGCATCCGGGCCCTTGGAACCCTCAGGCAGGCTACGCGGAAGGCCGCAGCTGCAAGGCCCACTGCCCCCGTTACCTGGCAGAGGATCAAAGGTGCTCCCAGGCTTCACAAAAGCCGGACAAAGGCTGGGCAGGGGAGGCAAGCGGCTGGTTCCCTCTTATAAATCCTCCCCTCCTGTTGTGTAGTGAGTTGGACGCATCGAATGATGATGAAAAATAGTGATATTCAGCTCATGTTTACTAGCACACAACATAACACAACACTAACGGCCAGAGGGCCAACTATATACAGTCTCTGTGGACCACCCCCAGGTTCCATCGGTGGGTTTAAACTTCCCGCCAAGGTTCCTATTGGTGACCTCTAGAGGTTTCAGGATCCTAGTCCCTATTGTTCCTAGGGATTCAAGCTCCTGTGAAATACGCTGCCACCTAGTGGCAGTCAGTGGACATAACACCTCCCCCGGCCGTTCCGGAGCTTACTATTGGGCCGGGGACAAGCAGGAGGACCTGATTTTCCCGCCGCTCGCAAACCCCACCCCACCCCCTGCCCGACATCCAGCCACCTCTCCCCTCCCTGCCCGGTGCCGCAAATGTTGGCCTTCGCCGAGCCGGGCCCTTCTTGCTTTTCAAACATTTGCATCAGGTGCATCTTGTAAAGATGCAGACCTTGATGAGAACTTGTGGTTCGCCCCAGTTTCCCACCCACATCATGAAAGGGAACGACCACTTTGTTTTTGCAAACAGCTCCAGCTCGTCCCAAGCGCAAACATCCCTTTTTTCAAATCCCTTTTTTCGATCAGGCGTCGGAGAGACTCAGATGCAGGTGGCCTTGAGCTATGCAGACAGTTTGGCTGGACAACACCAAGCTGGCAGAGTGGGCTCAAGGTACTTTGTCCCCCCAAGAATGGTATCACCTCCTGGGCAATATTCCCTCAAAGCTGTGGAGTCTTGTGAACAAAAATTCTGCTGTGTGAGCTACTGGCATTCAAGTCGTGAGCGGGTGATTTGGCCGCTGCATCAATTGGTTTGCTCTGGAGCCCTCCTTCCTGAGCTCAGACAAAAGTGGCGGAGTTCCTGGCCCTAGCAGCAAAAGAGATAGGAACCAAAAGTGGTAAAAGTGCTAAGACAGGGGAAGATTACTTGCCTACTCTTCCTAGTTAAGATCTGCCTATACTTAGTTTATGCGACGCCGCTTGCATTGGAGAATTTCTGTCGACTGTTTTTATTTCCCACTCAAATCTCGCTCAGGTGGGGTTTTATGTCTCTTTCCTTGTTATGCCAATAAAGGTTGTGTGTGTGTGTGTGACATCTTGCCTAGGTCATGATGCCAAGGCAATGGCATTAATAGTACTATGTCAGGAATAGTACTATGCCATTGCGACAGTGCTCTTGGGTCCATTCTACTGCTGCCTGGATCAGAGCCAAACCCCCCCCCCCAGCAACACTTTGGGGGCTTGTTCTGGACCTGGACGTTGGCAGCTCAAGCCCAGGTGGTGGTGCCTGTCACCTCCTGTGCTGTGGGTGGTTGCATGGAATCAGTGCCCTTCTTTTTTTTAAATTAAAATGTATTAAAAAAATAAAATAAAAAATTAAAAAAAATTAAAAAGGAATCAGTGCCCTTCTCATTGTAACACTCTGCACAGATGCCTGGGTGGGTTGACTGGAGTTTATTTATTTATTTAATCCATTTATTTAATCCTTTACCCCGGTGGAGACCCAAAATGGCATACATCATTCTCCCCCCCCCCATTTTATCTTCACAGCTACCCTGAGAGGTAGGTCAGGCTGAGAGAGTTGTGACTGGCCCAAGGTCACCCAGCAAACGTCAAGGTCACCCGGCAAACATCCATGGTGCAAGCAGGGATTCGAACCCAGGTCTCCTAGATACTAGCCTGGGTTTTGGCCTCTTTGGGACACAGAGTGTTGGATGGGATGGGCCGTCGGCCTGATCCAACATGGCTCCTCTTGTGTTCTTAACCACTACACCACACTGGCTCTGCACAAGGACGGCAACAAAATAAAGCGTCTTTGCTGGAGCTTGTCTGAAATGCACTCTGGCCCAGGGCCCCCCCAGCCTTTCTAAAATTGGCGGGTGCCTTTGGAATTCTGACACAGGGTTGTGGACGCAGCCACAAAACGGATGTTGCGTGAGGCAGAGCCAGCCACATAAAGGAAACCCAAGTGCAGGGGGGAAGAGGGGCGATTAGAAAAAACAACTGCAGTGGCAGCTGCCCCTGAAACCGTGCTGTTTCAATCTCCCCGGCCAGTCCGATCTCCAGGGGCCAGTCAGAAGCCCTGCTGGGCAAATGACCCAACTTCCTCCCACCTCCTTTCTAAAAACACTTGAGGAGCATGAGGAAAGGTGTTAGTGGGCACTGCATCACCTGCAGACACCCAAGTTGGGGACCCCTGCTCTAGCCCGCCTTCAGTTAGATTCTGCACGTCTTTCACCAGTCTCCTTTGGTGTAGTGGTTAAGTGCACAGACTCTAATCTGGGAGAACCGGGTTTGATTCCCCACTCCCCACTGCTGGATGACCTTGGGCAAGCCACAGTTCTGTCAGAGCTGTCCTTGAAAGAGCAGTTTCTGTCAGAGCTTTCTCAGTCCCGCCTACCTCACAGGGTGTCTGTTGTGGGGAGGGGAAGGGAAAGGAGTTTGTGAGCCGCTCTGAGACTCC